CTTAAAGGCCTTGCTCAGTCAGTTGTCATGGCACTGGACAGGGAGTCCAGAGATCTGGATTCAGCTCCTAGCTCTACTACTGACCTTTATGCAGGTCATTTTCCTCTGTTCCCCTTCTAGCCCTTTGTCCTGTCTCTTTACACTATACGCTCTTCAGTGTATGGGCTGTCTCTTACTACAAGTTTGTACACCAAGCACAGTGGAGGCCTGATTACAGCTGAGGCCTCTAGGTGCTACTAGAACAGAATTAAAACAATAATCTGACAACAGCACCCTGCGTTTGCAGGGGAAAGGTTAATGATCTAGCAGGTTGTTCCTATTTCCAATTGCTAAGATCCTATAAAATTCAAAGTTGCCAATTTAACTCCTTCATCTTAACTCAATCAGACTATAGCAACAGCAGAGTAAGAGGGACTGCTACTGCCAGAACTGGCAATGGCTCCAAAAGTCCCACCCTATTTGACAAAATAAAAGAATTATCATGGACTGTGCTAACAAATTCCATACTGTCTTGTGATTTTTGTCTGTCACCGTTGTATTCTGGTTGCCTATCCAGAGGTCTCTGAACAAACTAGGATTTGAAATTCCTACATGTACTTTTCTTTGTTTTAGTGCAGTGACGCATGAATCCCACTGGAGAACTTAAATATGAAAAGATAATATTAACCCTGAATTGCTTGCTTTTATGGCTCGGTGCATTTAAAGTCCTCAAATACCAAATGTTGGTACATTTTCCAATAAAGATTTCCCAGTTTTATAATCACATAAGTAGTGGCCCACACACGCGCCAAGGGAGTATAAGAGGTGTGTGTTTTAGCTTAGCACAATCAATCAGCTGCCATCCAGTTCAAAGAGACTTTTATCCTGGTGATTAGAACACTGAAAAGGTTAGCTTTGGTCATGAGAAAGACACAGCTGCTTGGGACCCAACCCGCAGCATCTGAAATGCTGTTCCTGGAGCTGGCAGCTCCAAGCCAGCAGAGACAAATTCAGGAGCATTTTACACTGGATACACTGAAAGAACTAAAAAAAGTGGGAAATACATTGATGTTTTGCAGCACCACAATTTTTCACTCAATCCTACAAATCATCAGGAGGCAGAGAAGGGTGTCAAGATGTCCTGATATTATCAGGACTATCCTGATATTAGCAGTCTACAATATAGGCAACCTATTCCCTCTTATCTGACTTTTGCCATCTAGTCACCTGGTGGGAAGGTGGATGGGGAGGGGGATTTAAAAACAACTTGCAGAATCTTTGCTGGGTCCAGTGTTAGAAAAGAACATTTGAATCTAATGACTCTATGAGAACAGAAAAAACTGCATAGTGCTAGAATTAAGGGTGCAGGGAAGTGGTGCTGCAGCATCCCCTAGCCTGAAGTGGTTTCCATTATATACAGAGTTTACATTTGGTTCACTGTTTCTCAGCACCCCAGTACACAAATTGTTCCAGAACCCCTGAAAAATTGTGAGCTGGCTCTTAACAGATATACATTTGCCTAGAGACACTGACTTCAGAGGACAATTTGGGTCAGTTCTTTGGGGATGAAATCCTGCTTCGACTGAAGTCAAAGGCAAAATTCCCCTTGACATCAGTGGACTCAAACTCGCACTTACAATTTTCCAGCAGGGAATTTAGATAAGGGCTGCTTTCTGATGTCACTATTTGGGGAGTGTTTATACCTGAGGGAGCAGAGTTCCAAACACTGATCACTTGGGAGCCATCTCCACTCACCTTCTAAGGCAGAGCCCTTCCAGGGATGTACTATGCGGACGTACTGAAAGATGCACCAAGTAAACACCTGCTATGAAATACAATTTACAGTAGCTCAACTGTGACAGAACGTGTACCATTACACGGGGAGGGAAGTCTAGTTATTCATGAATTTCTGTTCCGTTTGCATTTATTATTCCACACCAGATATCTTAAACAAAAACAAGTGATGCCCATGTGAGACATGGTTAATAAATCAC